GAAAGAAAGAAAGAAAGAAAGAAAGAAAGAAAGAAAGAAAGAAAGAAAGAAAGAAAGAGACTTTAATTTTGCAGAAAAATGTAAAGGCAAAGTATCATTCAGACTGGCAGACTACATTCTCCTACATTAGGGCAGAGAGGGAGCTGATGTGGCTTGGGAATTGGAATTTCAGAACAACAATTAGTGCACTACAGGCCTTCCAGGCCTTTCTATTCTCTGAAATAGCAGCATTTTCTCCCTCTTCTCTTCTTCAAGCTCTACTTTGCTGAGGAACATCACGAAGATTGGACCTGCCTCCATAATGATTGTCTAGTTCTTTTTTCTGAAGAAAATGCCATTTCCTGTCCTTTACTCGGTTCCCTTAATCTTGTCTTTTACCACCTTACTGCTCACTGAGTTCAGTAAATCAGTTGCATACACGGACTCCAAGCCCCTTCATTTGCCACATCATGAACAACCCCCCTCAAAACTACACTCAGGTCTTAGAGCACCCCTCCACTGCTGGTTTCCCTGCATGAGAGTGTGCACTTAAGGCTCACATTCCCAGGGAACTTTTTGTAGTAAACAGCTTGAAGTCATTAGAATCTAAGATTATTTGGTAAGTGAACACAAATCCCACCTAACAAGGTCAAATTCTAGTTCTCCCGGGAAGAAGTGGCATAAATAGACATTTCCATCTGGGCATTTCCCATAGACATGCCCATAGACAACACATGCCCATAGACAACACAGTACCCCAACGTATAGAAGTGTTTTATTTGGCGCGCTTGATTTGGCCAATCCCGATTCTAATTTTAACCTCTGTTGCCTATATTTTTTCAAGTGAGAGATTTAAAACCTCAAACCTTTAGTGCAGAGATTTTTCTGGTTTCTCTTCACAAAACTTTAAAATAAAGCGGTCCTGAGCCCACAGCTCGACTCATAGAAAGCAATGAATTTGCTTTGCAAAGGAATTGTGGTTGTCTAAAAGCGTCCCCCTGGGCCAGGGAGATGGCTCAGTGGAATAAGCACTTCCCTGGCAAGTGCAAGAGCCTGAGTTCAATCCCCGGTTCCGAAAAGAAAAAAAAAAAAAAGAGAAAGTAGTCCTTAGTGCTGTGACTGCTGGTTCTGTGACTTGGGGCTGGTGAGATGGCTCAGTGGTCTAGAGCACCTACTTGGAACAAGCTTGGCAAAGCACAGGGACCACGGTTCAATCCCCCAGCACCACATGCCAGTCAGCCCTGCCTCCTGGTGGGCTGAGTGGCCACCCACACCCACACCCACCCACACACACACACACACACAAATAAATAAAAAAATTTAAAAAAAATATAAAAAAATAAAAAATAAATAAAAGCGTCCCCCTTCCTTAGAGGATGGCATTCCTTGTGCTAGACAGCAAGATGATGAGGCAATAATCAGGAGGGAATGTAGGAAGCGACATAATGAAATCATTTGTTTCTTCTTAAGAAAAGAACCTTTTTCCTACCAAATTGATATCTGACACTTGTCCTGTGCAGTCCGCTCGCCCAACACCAATATGGAAGCCACTGAAGTTCTGAAGTAGAGGAGGCGCTGGGGTTGCAGGAGAGGCTGAGGTGGCTGCGGAACTCTGGCTTGCTGGGGTGTGCTGGGTGGTTAAGAAACCACCCGAATCTAAAACAGGGCAAGATATTGAGAAACAATAACTCAACAGGCTTAGTTATCTGCTTCAATACAGTTTCAATACATAGGTACAAGTTCCTAATGAAAAAAAATCTGCATATATTCTCTTATAAGATACACAGTGAAAAACATCACATTAAGCTTCTTGAAATCATAATTTGAAGTAGGAGCTTTTTCTTGCACTAAACTTGCTTAAGACTAACAGTCCTAGGGGCTGGAGAGATGGCTCAGTAGAATAAGCACTTGGCTGGCAAGAGCAAGGGCCTGAGTTCAATCCCCGGTTCCGCAAAAACAAACAGACAAACAAAAAGAAGACTAACAGTCCTAGGCCCTTGTGACACAACCTCCGTCTTCTCATCATGTGGGCTTTGCTGTCATTCACATCCAGTTCATTCACTTCTTTACTTTTCTGTTCCAACCTAACGAGACATCCCAGATTCCTGCCTTGCAACCTGCTAAACTTGCAACTCGTCCTTTCCATTTCCTTCCTTCAAACCCCTCCCTCCGCTCCTCTCCCCCACTTGGGGTCTGTTCCTCCCTCAGGCCCATCTCTACCACAGATGGTCCAGGTGCCTCCCCTCCAGGATGCTGCCCAGCTGTTCCCACTCAGCTCTGGTTCTCCTTGGCCTTCTAGAGTCTTTTGTTAAAGCCGCTAGACCATTGTATACTTGGTGGCAAAGCTCCACCTTACTCTGATTCTTTTCATAGCTATACATGCATATTGCATTTTTTTTCATTGAGTTTGTTTTTTAATTTGATACATCTCTCCACCATATTACAATTGAGCCATTAAATTTGTAGCTTCATCAACATTAACTGGTTCGTTTTCATGAAGCGGTTGATTAATCAGCTCTTTCTTACGAGGTTCGAGTCAGCCTTTTAGAGAAGTGTGTGAGTTCCTTCTGAATGTTTACAAAAACTTTATTCATTCTGCGTACTTTTTCATCATTCACAATGTTTATCTTCTTAAGATTAGTAGTAACTGGTTTTGCTTTGTTTTTGGACTTAAAGTTTTTTTGGCTGGCTATGTGAAATACGTTCTTGGACTTCTGCCCTCTTAATTTATTCTTGGCCATTTTCTTTGATATCCGCGTGCAGCTGCTCCAGCTCCAGAGCATGCCATCTGCAGGCTCACAGCCCAGGAAGTTCCCGCATATTGCATTTTTAAACACACATGAAGGTCCAAGAGGCACAGTGACATAGAGATTAAGAGGCCAGTGTTAAAAACAGAGCCTGGTTTTCAAACCTGATGCTACCAGTTAGAAAACAAACAAAGGGCCTAACTTATTTCACCCCAATTTCCTCATTTATACACAGTGTAAATAAATGCTTTCTGGACTTGTTTTGAATAAAGGATGTGTTACTACATTTTAAACTTTAGAACAATGGTTGCTGTTATGGTTTGTGTCTAGGTGTCCCCCCAAAGCCTCATGCAGTCATGGGGCAGCTTCTGGAGTTTGTGATTGATTATTGTGAGTGTAGATGCTGTGTCTGCCCTGGGGCAGGTAATTTGCATTACAACGTAAGGTGGGAAGAGAAGCTAGCTGCTTGAGCTGCTGCTACCCTTCCCTTTTGCTCTTGCTCTTTGTCACCACCATGAAAGGTTGCCCTCTGGCCTGTGCCACTCTGCCTTGGAGCCAGCTGAGTATGGACTGAAACCTCCAATAACTGTGAGCTAAATAAACCTTTCCTTCCTTTCCTTTTGAGTGTCGGGTATTTGTCCCAGCAACGAGAGAAGAGTAACTAAGACAGTTGCTATATAGCTTTCACTTTCTTTACCTATTCAGACATTATATATATGATATATACAGTATGTGTTTGTTTGTTTCAAGCTCCAGACAACAGTTAAGAGTGCTCAGTATCACCAGGCATCGGTGGTCACAAGGCATCTAATCAAAGGAATTACTGCTGACTTCTGGGATTCTAAAATTTTGAAACAAAACTTACTGGTCCTATCTTCTCAGGTTTGCAAACAAGGAAACTAAAGCTTGAAGTGACCTAAGCAAGATTTCATAAAGAACATGAGATGGATTAGGTGGCCAGACCAGATCCTTGTACACAATCTCATGCTCTTTCTACCCAGTTCTAGATGGAGTTAAAACCTGGTTTGTCCCTGGACCCACATTTCCTATTCAAAATCCAATATGACAAGGAAAGAAGCAATATTTCTGCTTTTGCCTCACAGCTAACACCACAGAAATGTGCTACTATCTAAAGCCGAGCCTAGCACACGGCTAGGGGCAACTGCTTCAAGATCTTGGAGTGTCAGTCTCTGCATATGGCACTACAACTAAGCCCTGCCTCTAGGAGTTTTGTGATGAGAAAATGGTATAGAATCCTTACCATACTGTTTCACACAAATAAAGCAGGATACATTAACTACCACTATGAGAATGCAAAATATAATTACTAGTAATCTCCTCCAGTCTCTAATTCTGGGCACTAAAATTAAGTCTGAAAGATCTTTTCATTTCTACCACTGCAAGCCCCTCTACTCTGTCAAATGATGGAACAAGGAATCTTTGTTCCTCTGCATTCCAGAGGGAATTCAAAGTACCAGGACATGGTAAAGAATATGCCGGAAGAGAAGCAGTCACAAAAGAGAAAACTAAATTTAAAAGTTCCATCTCTGAGGTGGGGCTACGTGACTGTAATCTCAGCTACTTAGGAAGCTAGGACAAGAATTTCAAGGCCAACCCAAGCAACTGAGTAAGACTTTGTCTCCAAATAAAAAAGAAAAAGTGCTGGAGATTAAGCTCAGCAGGGTGGCTCCTGGGTCTGATCCCTGGCAGGCAGGCGTGGGGAAGGGGAGGGGAGAGTTCATCTCCAGAGCCGCTTTATCTAAGCCACCCCTCCCTTTGCTTTGCTCAAAGTACACAGTCTTCACCTGTCTTCTCAGTTCATGAGTCTGGATCCCAACACCAAATAGAGACTACATCCAAAACCCAATGCCAGCACTACCTGTAAGTGTAGTCTACATAGTTTCAAAAATTACATTTCTTTCCAATAGCATACACAATCAGGATCTAAAAATCCCAATTTTCCACTTCTCTTGAAGACTCAGGAGGTCAAAGACACTGGGCCAGTGCTCCCTCAGGCAAGGACACCCCTTCCCTGGATCTGCACCCACTCCCACCCCGCTGTCTCCCCACTCTACCTCATTTACAGGGCTGATGCCTTTCATAAGGATTTGTGTCTGAGGAGCTCACTGCCTAAAGCTCTTCACAGAACAAGTGTTTTGTTCTTCTTCTGCCCCCAGGAGACAATGACCCAACAAGGAAACAAGGACAAAGAGTAGGGGCTTGGAGCAAAAGCTGGTATTGCTGGGTTTTGAACAAGCTTGGGCTGTGCTTAGATGCATGGTAAAGATAAAGGCAAATATGAGCAGGTGCTTGTCAATTGGCTATTTGAGGGCAAAGGTAAACTTGATAAAAGTTGCTGTCAATGTAAAAGTAATTAAAGGAAGATGGCCATCCAAACTGCTGAAGTACACAGTGCGCTATCAGCACGCATTGTTTCTTGTCGTGATATCCCCAGTTATCAGGACATTTTCTGCAGACCTAGCAAAAGGATCCCAGAGGGCCAGTGACACTTGCCTTTGTGGTTCTCGATGGTCCCACTGGTGATAAACAAGAGGCTGAGAAGTGCCACTGTAATGGCAGTCATCATCACAAGGAGGAAAATCAGGAAGGTCTCCAGCACGGAGAAGGTGCGCTTTGCCATTTCTCCTGAGATGAAGCAGAAGTGGAAGAGCAAAGGTGAGGGGGGAAGAAAAAGGCAAAATCACAAATTAAAATGCACGTGCTTCAAGCTGCCTAAGGGTAACAGAAATCAATTCTTTCATATTAACAAATGGACTCTGCCCAGGACAGGAAGCACGGAGCACATGTACCACTAGCTCCGTACTTCAAGCCCGTGGCAGCCAAGACTGACCAATGACAACACATTGTGAGAAGTCTCAGGCACACTTTCAAATCACAGCATGACACTCCTCCTACAACCACCACCTGTGATTTGGTGTTGGAACAGGGACACAAACTCTTTCCTTCTCTCTCTCTCTCTCTCTCTTTTTTTTTTTTTTTTTTTTTTTTTTTTTTTTGGCTGAACCGGGGATTGAACTCAGCCCCTTGCACTTGCCAGGGGAAGTGCTTATTCCACTGAGCCATCTCCCTGGCCCCTCTTTCCTTCTCTTGACTCCAATGCACTGCTTCTTTTATGACCATGTTGGCTACTGGTAGGTCTGTAAGTGGGCCCAGGGTGGGAATTCTGTCAGAAGGGATGAGTGATACACATGTACTGCTGTGTTTAGGAGGAAGGTGTCTGGGGTTAGAGCTCTACTCCATGACCTAAGGAAAACTATCTACTCCAGGTGGAGACTGAAACCTAGAACTCTGGTCTTTGTGAACTAATTTTCCATTATTATCTAGTAAGGAAAGGATGTAAGAAAGGGAGTTGGCATTTCTAGTCTCAAGCCAGGTGTTATTAAAATTTCTCTTTCAATGACCAGAATTATCCCCAATAGTTTGCATTTCTAGGCTGTATAAATGCATTTTTTTACAGATTCCTTTCCATGTTTTTTGAGAAATCATCATTCAGAGGGGACCTATGGAAGCTAAAGTCTCATACATTGCAATAAGTGGTTAGAAACTGGATTCTGAAATCTACCTCCAGTATAAGTATCATTTCTGCCCCTTTTGGGGTCACCTTAGGAAATCCTCCTTCACTACTGAATCTCAGTTTCTCTACCTCCAAGCAAACATCCAGTGAGAATTCTAGAACATGTCTCACGGACTTCCCAGTAAAGTAAGATAACGTGACACAGGTAGCACTTCCTTTCTTCCACAGGATGTAGTAAGTGCTCAAAATGTTAGGTTTAACCTTAGGTTTCAAGATAACAAAGACCCTTTAGGGGGATTGTAAGATACTAATGCTAAGGAACTGCCAGAGGCAGAGGTGAGACCTTCAATGTTCATTTTCTTGACTCATGGGTTAGGATATCTGAGTAATAATATGGACTTACAACTCCAGGATCTTTCCTCAAAATGAGTGATTTGTGGCTACGATGCTACTAAATGTAGCCCAAATAACATTTTGGTTTTGTCTCAACTTTACCTACATGAAAAATTAAAAGATACCTTAAATAGTTTCTTTATAAAGGTACAGTTTATATTTATAAATCTAAAAGTAGGAGACAACCCGTTCAGGGCCCCCCTCCTGTCCCTCTCTCGGACAGGAGTTTTCTTTCCTTCAATGAATATATTCTGCTCATAACCTCAAAAAAAAAAAAATCTAAAAGGACAATTTCCTCTGGCAGTCATCCATAAAATATGGTGGCAGCTGCTGTTTCCCTTGGGGAGAGCAAGCACCCATCCCCCCATTAATCACCCCTTGACAGCTGAATCCCTCTGAATCCTTCCCTGGTCTATGCAGGCATTTGGTTTTGCAATGTGAGGTCAAGAGTTAAAACATCAGCATGACAGCAAACCCTTCAGAGGTAAAGTAGAATGAGGCTGAGCAGGGACACTAAACATTTCACGTTTCCTCTGTACTGGGAAACCTTATCCTTAGTCACCACCACAGTCACCGTATCCTCAAACACAGGACAAAACTTGTTCCTTCGGTATCTTCCTCTCAACTCCTGTCATCCATCCCAAGAACCCCAAAGCACACCAAAGACACACCTCTAAAACTTTTCTAACTAAAAAGACGCACCAGAGAGTAGCCACTTTCCCACAGAAAACTCCAAAACCATCATAACCTAGTTCAAGCCTTGTTCAAAGCTTTGTTTTCTAAAAGCTTTCTAGCAAGCCAAGATGAAAAACAACTAGATGTCTCAAGCCCAAAGCATCAACATACAGATCATGTGTGTAAATCCAGTCATGCAATAGGAGCCTGTGTATCAAATTGGTGGTACAAATTTATATATGTACATGTACTTTTATTGTATGCAATTTAATTTCATTATATACTGTATATAGCTAAAGGTACATAGATTTTTCTGGTTAGTGTTTGCTCTACCAAATTGATTACCACTATCAACCCTCTAGACAAGACAACCATGGCATTTCATTCCACATAAAAATTTCTACCTGTTACTCAGACTTGAATTATCTGTCTCATACAGTTCACCAATCTGTTTATCCACCATATTTGTAACCAAGACATCAACAGTACTTTAGCTAACTTTCCCATAACCTGTAGGGAAATCACAATTTAGGTTAGCACTACTTATTTCTTTTTGATGATTAAAGTATGAATTTGAACATGAAGCAGATGTATTATCTGGCTTCAGAATGTAAATACACCTTAAGGAGCTGAGCCTATCATTATGTCTTAAGCGATTCTAGATTTCCTAATGGTTCCCACTTAACCTGTCAAACCTACAAGTCAGTGACAGATTCTGGTGACACAATAGCAAGCTATTTAACATATCATTTATCACACCGAAGTCCCTGTTTTTCAAGGTGTCAGTAAAAAGTAACAATGTGGAAAACTGGATTTCGAAAGCTATAAAAGTTAAGTGGAAGCTTGAAGATTTTCTCAAGATCTCTGAGACAGCAAGGTGACTCACATTGCCCTCTTTCCCCTCCCTCTCCAACAGAACAAGTATTCTTACCTGATTCTACTATTCTAGTGAAGCTATTCAGGATCTGGTTCCATTTGCACGTTGCTGGCCTTAGACTTCTCAACACTTGGAAGCCTGCTGAAGAAAGAGTTTTATAGTCAAATCCAGGAAAGTTATAGTTCTCATTAGCATACCTTTGTAGGCTTGGAACCAGGATAAGATTAAAGTGTATTGATAAAAAAAAAAAAAAAAAAAACTAATGACAGAAATTGCAGAAGGCTTCCTAGACTGAAGGTCATTCCAAACCTTACACAACTCTTCCAGCATAATAAGTTCTGCACAAAGCATGCAACTCTCTCTCTCTCTCTCTCTCTCTCTCTCTCTCTCTCTCTCTCTCACACACACACACACACACACACACACACACACACACACACCAGCAAAATATTAAGTAATTGTCTGGTGATGTTGGATTGTTTTTGTTTTCATCTTTTGCCTTTTGATGTTTTCTGAAATAGCTGTTCATTATTTTGCAATGGGGAAAATAAAATACCTGTCCTCCCCACAGGAATGCATTCTATCAAACAGTCTGAGAAACAATGGCCCACAACAGAAAGGAAAACAAGAAATCGTCCAACTCTCCGGCTTGTTTATTTACTTGTTTGTTTTTCCTAGTAACTCAGAGGTCTCTAGAATCCCACTTGTTTGTTTGTTTTTGCAGAGCCAGGGATTGAAACTCAGGCCCTTGTGCTTGCCAGGGAAGCGCTTATTCCACTGAGCCATCTTCCTGGCCCTAGAATCCCATTTTTGTGCTGTTAAATTATTTGCAAAGTAAGAAGAGAGACCAGCTCCAAAAGTTCCAGTTGAAATACTATAGCTCTAAGCACCTTTAGCTAAGTCACTCAGTAGTGCATCTTAGCTGTTTTTCTGCTCCTACAGAAGGAAGTGGGTTAAATCATGGTAGCAACCAATTTTTGTATTAATTATGTTAGAGTCCTTGGATACAAGCAACAGAGAACAAATCTACCCAACTTAAGGTAAGGAAAGCAGGCAGATTCATAGCAAGGAAAGCTAAGAGTAAGCTCAGGAACGCCAACAGGTAGAAAAGCTCTTTGGACTGGGAGAGTTGTGCCTGTGGGTCACCTCCCTGCAGCACGCCATGGAGCCGTGGAGAAGGATGCTTCTCAGAGGCTCCCCTCAGGGTTGGATTCTTACCCGCCCACCTCAGGTCCTTTACTGACCATTTCCTTGGAGAGGATACTTAAATGAAAATCTTAACAAGAACACGCCCAAAGAGGGAAGCAGAGTTTTCCCAAATAAAATCAAAATGGAAGAGATATTGGACGGCTACAACGCGTCCACTCATGCAGCACCACTAGCTTTCCTGTCCTCATTCTCCGCCTTGGCAGTGGGAATCTCCAGGCCTCTGGAGCTCTCTCTGTCCTCAAGAGAAGGAGCCACGCCATGGCCCTGTCTGAGTCGCTTCTTCATTGCTGCTGTACAACACTGGGCGCCTACATTTAAAGGAGGAGAGGTTGTTTAGACCCAGAATTTTTAGAGTGTTCACGCCACGGTGGACAAGCTCACACACAGAGTGGCGTGGTGGGAGGGTGTGCTGCGGAGGAAAGCTGCCTGAGAGCAGGGAGAGGCTAGGCAGGAAGAGACATCCTTCGAGGCCATAACTGTAGCCACTCCCCCACAGCCAGGATCCACCTTCTGCTAACAGCAAGTTAGCAGAATGACCAGATCGTTCACACACACACACACACACACACACACACACAGCTTCTTTTAGGGTCATTTTAGATCCAAACCATAACTGGACCATAAGGGTGACACATGATCTAGTCAGGGCACATCGTTTTAGTAGATGTGATTAGTAGATGAAATAATATACCACTTCCCTGAGATAACTTCTGAAGGCCCATAGCTGATCAATAAGGGGGTGATCATGAAGATTCCAACTGTGGCAGAGGAGAAAAGAGGCTAGGCACAGGGGGCTCGGTGTCCATCAAAAGAGCTGGCCCTGAGAGCCAGGTACAAGAGCGCACTGGGCTGAGCTGAAGCCGCAGGCAGTGCAAGGGTTTAGGTTGTGCGAGTGTTTTGTGCTGGGCTGAGGGACACTCGCTTCAATCTTGTTAGCAAGCATAACCCAATGGCCCTTCTCCTCCTCATGGTATTTATCCATATCCATGTACTCTGTTCATTTTATAGATGAAGAAATAGACATAGAAAGATCAGTGAGTTACAGAAGAAAAAAAGAGGGTTGAACGTGAGCACCGTGCGGCAATGGTTGTGGTAGGATGAGAGCCCAGGCCTCTGGACTCTAGACAAGGCCTCTTGCCCTCCATCAGATAAAACTATCTACATCGCCTTGACCTGCAGACAGCACGGCAGCGCGGGGGTAGGAAAGTCCATGTGTTCACTCTTGTTGTCAGCTGATGGAACAAAGCCATGGCCTCTGGCTCAGCTCCCTGCAACCGAGGAAGAAACCAGCCAGTGCAAGGTGAAGGCAGTTAAGGAAACTATGTCCAAGCTAGAAGGATATTTCCACTCAAACTCCAGCTTCTATACCACTAATTCATAATACTAGCATCACATATTTTCTTAATATTTATTTATTCATACCATCACCCTAAACATTTTTAGATGCTTTCATTAAAGTATTATGATTACACATATTTATGTAGTATAATGTGATTATTCAATTCAGATATAAAATGCATACTAATCAAATCAGGGAAACTAAGGTCTTCGTCTCTGTATCATTAGTTCATGTTTGGAGGCTTCAAGCCCTTCTCTTCTAGTTATTCATAAAATGTATACTAGGTTATTGTAAACTAAAGTCCGTTTATTGCCATAGAACACTAGAACTTATTGACCAATCTAACTGAGTTTTTAAAAGATGTTGGGGATTCAATTCATTTTATTGAAAATTGATAGCAAGAAAGTGGGGAGAAATTAAGAAACAAAAAATTACTCTTATTTTGCTGTACAAATATTTGAGAACGTCAAATAATAGAGGAGGGATGATTTCTCACAATCAACACACTATAGCTTGGAAATCAGGAGGAAATGACAGGCTTAATAGGGTGATAGAAAATTTTACCTTCTCTTTCAAAAACTCTTACCAGAAAGTGAAATCTAGTTTGGACCAGCCTTATAGATTTTGGGGCTTATTTACAGAAAATTCAAACTGAGTATGTCAGAGGGCATTCTAGGGACACAATAAGCAAAACCCAGGCTGGGAGAATCTCTGTAAAAGGAAAGACCTAGTTTATTTAACAAACAAACTCCAGTGGGGAAGGAAAAGAAGGAGAACAAGAGCAGGAAGGAGTGGTGGAGACATGAGAGAGAAAGGCAGGGACAAGATGATTGGAAGAAGGGAGAGGAGGAGGGAGGGAAGAGAAAAGGTACAGTTTAAAAGAGGGCTAAGAGACATTAGTCAATGGCATGTTGTAAGTCCCAAACCCAGAACCTGATTGTTTTGAAGTTATGAGACAATTGAGGAAACCTCTATACTGCCTAGATGTTGCCAGTATTGAGGGATTATTGTTAAAGCGCTAGCATGATAAAGGCATTGTGATTACACTTTTTGAATAAATTTTGTCATTCTGAGATGCATTTTGAAGCAGCTATGTTTAAGAACAAACACTGAAAACACTAAATGGATGGGTGGATGATGGATGATGGATGGATGGATGGATGGACAATTCAATGAGAGGGAAAATGAACACAAAATAAAATTCATTCTTTGCTGTGCTGATTGACTGTCAAAGGGTAGGTTAAAAGCCTGTAGTAGATACCATGGAGTGTTTTACTCAGCACACATTGCAGAACCTAGTGGGCAGCAGCTGGCACCCACTTGCCTTGGTTTTCTGATGTGGTTTAGGTTCTGCGTTTTGGATGTGTGGGCATGTGGCTCTGACTCAGAACTGACTGAGACACATGGAGAGAAGGGGTGCACGGGATATCCATCTGGCCGGCTTGGATCCTGGCAGTGTGACTCTTGGTTGCGGCCTTCCAGTTAGTTCTGGATGCTGCTGTCTGCTTCCTATGCTGTAATGGCGAGCAGGTAAACTCTCCTGAGCAGCTCTGTTCTAGGACTTAACCTGGAGGGTTGTTTCTGGGAGCTCCTCTTCAACCTTCTGCCTGCAGCCCTCCTGGTTATTCTGGGTTATCTCCCTGTCTCCTTCAAGAAAACTTTTTCTTTTTAAGCCTCCAGAGTGGACTTCATTATCTCTAGCAAAGAACCTGTCCAAGCTAAATCTCACATTCTACATCAGACTCAAGTGTATACCAAGCTGTCTATGAGAATATTTTTAAACTTGAAAGTAATAAGCAGTCTGACACAATAAATTTTTTGTTAGGCCCCAAAAAACTTAGGTTAAAGCAGGCCAGATAGCTGAACAGACTAAAGTGCCTGCTTAGGCAGAGCGCAGCAACCAGGGTTCGATCCCTGGTGTGCAGTGCCGGCCCCACCCCTGGGGTGCGCTGAGACTGTGCATGATGGTACACCCCTATAATCCCAGTGCTTGGGAGGCTGAAAACAGGAGACTCACTACAAGTCTGATCTCTGTAGTGAGACACTGTAGACCCTGCAGACTCTGTACCAATTATATTAAAAAGAAAAAGAAAAAAAAACTTAGCTTAAAGTATTCAGGGTTAGGATTGCTAGCTCATGGTAATGCACAGGATGGAGAACTCTCCTTCTCCTTCTCCTCCTTTTCCTTCTCCTTCTCCTTTTCCTTTTCCTTCTCCCTCTCCTTCTCCCTCTCCCTCTCCCTCTCCCTCTCCCTCTCCCTTTCCCCCTCCTCCCTCTCCCTCTCCTTCTCCCTCTCATTCTCCCTCTCCCTCTCC